AAAAAAAAAATCAACTTTAACGTATACAAATGCATCCAAAGATGACTGTTTTGTTCTCATGTGGCTAGACTACATTCTCCAAGTATTTCATTGTCTAGTCCATCAATATGTTTTGCAATAATACGGTTAGGATCTTGAGAAGGCACCATTCTGTTACTCTTGTGTTTCTTTGTTCAATACTTTGGTGACTTTGCCTTCTTGTAGGCCACCAGTCGGAGCTAAACCAGCTCATGTTAAATATACACTGATAGAGGGCAGGATTGCTTTCTAAACACAGATGGTCGGATTAAAGATGCAGCTGCTTCTCTTCATGTGTTTAATACTTTTTCCTTGTGCTATTCAACTTTACTGCGCACAACTACATTTATGATCTGATTTGTTTTGATTTCTTTGTATGGGTACATTTCTTGGGTTGTTGCCGGCATCTGGTTTAAATTTCATCTCAACGACCTCATTAGAAATATATTTCCTTGAGGAAAACATTGACATGTTCAATACCGTTTTAATTGTGTCTTCTCAGGCTTTTGCGTGTTCTTTTTGTATGATTTCAGAGAGGAGCGCAGTCATGACATACCTCTTACCCTTCTGACTGAACTGTCTTGCATGTTCCCTCTCTTTTTCTTTTTTTCTTTTTGTAGGGGGGTTGAGCATGCATGAGTGCGCACTTGTACTCACCTACTATCACCTCTGCCATTCGTCCCTCCTTTTGGCCCCCACCTCATCCTGTCTCATTCACACGGTTCCCCAACAGATACGGACAACCGAGCAAACACCTCAAAGGCACTTTGTGACTTTGACTCCTTGCTGACGACTTTAAATACACTTCAAAGCGTGTGGCTAAACTTTTATCTGGCTCCCTTAAATCTTCTAAACCAGTCTCTACTCATCCTTTCTGGTTTATGTCTCTCAAGGCTCTTACTCTTACTAAAAGGTTTTCTTACCTTTAAAAAAAATAAATAACGTACAAACATGTGTTGCCCCTTTGACAATTCATAAGCTTACCCCTGAGAAGCTGTTTTTTTTCTTTTTTTTTTGTACTGATGAAACTCACATACTAAATCTTGAAATGGACGTATTTTTTTACTGCAGCAATAAAACAGCAGCTCATATTTTCCAAAACCAGCATGTTCGCTGTTTATGAATAAAACAATGCTAGCTCTGTCTGTGCTTTTATAATCCCATGTAACTCCCTGTGAGTCGGAGACGTTGACGCTGATGGACAGTTACAACCATGAACTCATGTTATTTTGTGCCAACGCTCAAATGTGTGACATCATATCCTTTGCACGGGGTCCAGTAAGGCGTCCACTTCCTGCCTGGCGTCGTGTAAATACATGTAGTAATATCAGAGGTAGTAAAAAGTCGACTGCATGGCAGAACGCTCACAGGTGCACATGCTGTGATTTACGGTTATTGAGTGAAATAAGTTTTGAAATAAGCCTTTTCAAATGCTAAAAACTGCCCTGGCTTTGAAACAGCCAGCTATTTTTTCTTCTCTTTTTTATTTTATTTATTTATTTTTTTATTTGATCTTGGGCTCCTATTTGTCTTTGAAAGATGCAGATAATTAAAATACTCAAAATTCAAACTCTCTGGGCATCTCTTATAAATCTGTAGATGGAAATAGATGGCACATTTGCATTTCTCATTTGTTAAACTTGTATCTCAGATGAGATCTTTTTTTCCTGTTGATCCCTTGTCAGATGTGAGGAGTTTGTCTTTTGGCTTATCTGTGATGTGTTTGACTTTCATTGAAGAGATTAGATGGAATGAAACAATTGTAGCTGTTATCTAATTATTAAAATTCACATCCAGGTTCATAATTCTGAGAAGTTAGTTATTTTTTTTCTCTCTTGTTCTTCAATAATTATATATATATTTTTGTCATAATTGTTTTAAACCAGATCTAAATGTTAAACATGGCAAAAGTAAATATTTTGATGGACAGTTTTATTCAGATTCAGTAATCCTACTTCTTGTATACATTTATTATTTTCTTAAATGTTTTTCAAACATTTAAAAAAATAAATGTGACAAAAAAGCGAAAAAAAAGTGTTTTTGTCACTGTCTTCTATTTTAGAAAAATTCTGTAAAAAAACTAATTAAATTATATTTTTTTATAAAACTAATTTTACTAATTTTAAGTAAAGATGTACACTCAAGTAAAAAAGTTGCATTTTTTTTTAAATTACTGAAGAGTTTGATATTATTTATTTAATTGCTAATTTTTAGTGACACATAGATTTGCAGAAATTGGACTGAAATGTCTAATTTTTAAGTAATAACACACACACACACACACACACACACACACACACACACACACACACACACATATATATATATATATATATATATATATATAAAGTTAATCTTTTAACACTTGAGTTGATGTTTCTTCACTCTGCAGATGTTAGCATGTCTGCCCAGCATTCAGGAAGTCACTGTGCTCATTATTTGCAGTGTGTATGTGTGGCAGTTGGAGAGCGGCTGGTCCAAGAGCAGCTGGATTTTGCAGGTTTCACTGGTTTTATGAACGGCTTGAATAATGACCCCGCTCTAGCTGCCAACTTGGAGACGAAGAGGCAAACTCTGCCTGGTTACAGGCTTCCACCAACAAGTAGAAAGACCTGCCCAAATCCTCTCCGCTCTCTTACTTTGTTTGTCCCTCACTTGTTCTGTCCCTCTGTTTCACTTTTTTTTTTATTTATCTTTGCTCAGTTTCTCTCATTTTTATGCTTTCTCCTCAACATTACTTTTCTCTTTGTTGGTGCTTATTTATTCTTAGTTTACAGTAAAATTGCTGAAAACTGAAAGTTAATTAAAAAAAAAAGTAAGTAAATACAAGAACATTTACTTGCCGTATTTTTGGGAGTGTGTCAAATTGCTCTGACGCTGCTACTTGTAACTTTTAATTTCAGGGATTTTCAGCATATTTTCCTTTTTGGCAGGCATTCTTAAATTGCAGTATTTATTTTCGTGCATTGGTTTTGCTCAGATGGATTTTACAAAGTTAGAGCTGTGGCTGTGTGTCCCCTTGCTACCTCCTCCCTTCCCCATCTCCGAAAATTTGGTAGTTTTTTTTTTTCCTCCATCCTAGCTACACACACAGCCAATGACAACTCTCTCAGGTTGGCCTGATTTCTCATTGGTTTCCCACATCAATGAAACACTGCCTATTGGCTGTAGTAGAAATTCTTTTTCGGCAGAGATAAGCAGTTTTGAAGATTTGGTGAACAAATACTGCGTTTGATGTGGAGGCTTTGAAAATGTACTCCAGGCATTCCGATCACAAATACTGAATGGACATGAAAACTCTTTGTAAGACAGGGAGCATGTGAGGATGTGTGTAAAATGTGTAAAATGTGTGTGTAAAATCTTTCAATTGCATTCTCGTGGGTATATTTCTATGAATATTTGTACAGCTAGAACCTTAATCTTTAATAATGACACTAAACCTAAAGGAAGAATTATTGTAGCTTGGCTTTTGTTCCCCCCCTCACTCCTCCAAAGATGCTGAGCTCCCATTATCTGAATGTGAAGTCATGTTTATGTCCCAACAAAATGAATAATGAGGGGAGCACACAGGCGTGTACATCCTGCTCAGCCCCCAAAATGAATAATTTAACACTTGTATTCAGTGGTGACCACAGGGGCACGAGGCAGTTTGTCCGTATTTGTGATTTTCGGTGCATTTTTGTCCAAACCTCATTGTCTCCCTGAGTTTATTCATTGATAACTAGTAAGCAGTTTCTGCTATTTATTGCAGATGTCTGTTTTGCTGCTCCTTGACCCTCACAACTGGATTTTTTTAAAACCAATCTGTGCACATACAAGCCTTTTGTTTATTTCATTCATGTTGTCACTAGAGTTCAGGTGAGGATGTGCTGCATAAAAATTGCATTTCATGTTTATTTCATGCCTGAGCAGACTTTTTATGACAGGAGGTGTGGATTTTTTAAGGGTTTTCTTTTTCTTTTTTTTTTCCAAGCTTTTTAAGAAATAGTTTCCTTCAGCATGGCGCAGCGGTTTGCGCACTTAACGTGTTTGTTCGCAGCTCGTATGTTTTTAACCTCAGTGGAGGCTGGGAACAGTGTTTACATGTGTGCTTACTTCACACAGTGAGACTTGGTCCTTGTCCCCCCCCATGTGTCTTCATGCTGGTCGGTATATGTCATGCCTATGGAGCCAACAACAGGGCTCAGTGATCTTAACACCAACTGTAAGCTTGTTTTCTCTTTAGCCTCGGACATGACATTTACCTTTATGCCTCCCTGGTGGCTTCTTGAATATCATACCCCTCTTATCTCGCGTCCCCTTGTGTGTGTGTGCGTACGTGTGTGTGTAAGAGAGTTTAAGCTTGTATTTGTGTGTTTGCAGCTTTCTCCTGAATAGTTATGAGTCTGTATCTGAATCTGGACACCTGCGCTGTCTCTTCAAAAAGCCTTTGGATAGTTAAGTGAGCAGGAACACTTGCTGAACATCGTGCCAAAAGGTTGAGATTTTAACTGGGGGGTTAAGCTCAACCTTCTTTTATCAGGTATTCAGATTGGGAAGTGGGATTATTGGAAGTGGAAGGGATGAAAGGAAGAAGAAAAGCGATTGCTCATTTTGGCTCAAACCCTTTGCACCAGGCGTGCGGGTGCAGAATGGTAAACAGTAACGATAAACAATTTTGTAGCACTTATCACACTTGTTTGTGTGTGCTCTGTATTTGTTTTGTTGTATTTGATGCAGCATGTGGTAGAACACATTTCCCCTGCACACAGAAAGAAAATCCACTTTGTTCTTGCAGATGCATCATATCTACTGATGTAGCTCAGCAGAAATGCTGCATTGCTTCTATTGCTTTTTCTCTAAGGCTTATCAAAGTAAAGATGGACAAGTCCATTGTTTAGTTAATGTTTGATGTTTATGTTTATCAAGGATAATTTTTGACGACGGGTTTGTGATCCTTTTTGATAAAATGCTCATAAAATATTGTGTATCATCTCTCGTAGCTGCAAAACCTGAGTGTCCTGGATCTGCGGCACATCTCAGAACTGAACAACGAGACGGTGATGGAAGTGGTGAGAAAGTGTCGGAAGCTCAGCTCCCTAAACCTGTGCCTCAACTGGAGCATTAATGACAGGTAGGTGATGTGCATTTTCAGGTCTAATGATGCAGTGTAACTGAGCGGACTCAACAATGTCGGTTCACCTCAGTTTGATTTCTTCCAGATTAATTTAATTCATTGTTCAGTATAATTTTAATCCATCCTATTCTTAAAAACCTGTTCAGTTCTCTTGTGTCCTGAACAAATCAGATCAATGTGATTCAGTTCATTTTCATCCCATTGCATTCATTTGCTTTTTCTCCAGTTTGTTTCTGTTTAATTACATTTTATGCAGTTCAGCTTGGCGCTGTTCATGTTATTTCAAATCACTAGTTTATTACAAATCATTGGCACACAATTTTGATTTAGTTCAATTCATTTGAACTCCTCTAGGTATTTTTCCTTTGTTTTTATTCAGTTCACTTTGTTCAGTTGTATTAAATCAGTTCTAAATGTTTTATTTCAATCAAGTTTAATGACAGTCACTCCAAAACACTGACTTTGGTAAAAAAAAAAATTGGCCATTTTCACCCAGGTTAGACCTTAAACAATATTTATTTGATTTGAGTATCAAGTTCATCTTGCTTGTTAAATATATTATTTCCATGCAGAGCATCAATGCATGTCACTTAAATTGCAATACCATATTAATTATTTCCACCTTTTGCTTTGTTCTGTCCTGTTCAAATGCTTTCAGATGTATGAAATCCTCTTTAATGCCATTTCAATTTATTACTCTCATTTAGTTCAGCTCACTTAGCTCTACTCTTTACGTTAACTCAGTTTATTTTAAACAAACAATTCATATTCAATTAGATATGAACCTATTTACTTTTAAATTCACTTAGTTCATTGAGTTTTATCCAAAATAATCCAGTTTAATCCAGTTCCTTTCACATTTAAAGTCAATTGCATATGGTCTCATTCAGCCTACACATAATGTAATCTACCATCTACTTACTGATATACAAAAAGCATTACTATGTGGTGGAGCAGTAGCTAATCAAATACATTTTTTGCAAATTTGTAGACAAATTATATTAATGTTTCATTAAATTCACAAATTACGACGAATGGATGAGATTTGGATGCAAATCTTACAAACATTTCAGTTTCACTACTTTTATGTGCAACATGGAAAACTTTGTGTATTTGTCACAGAAAAAATGCCTTAAAATAGCTTAAAAATTATGGATCAACTAAAAATGCACTCACTTTGTTAAACATGTAATAATTTTTTGTCTGTCTTTGTTTTTCTGGTTTGTTTTTCTTTTTGCTCTTCCTTCTTCCTTGTTTCTTTTTGTTCGTCCCTCATTTTGGGAGAGAGTCGGCACCGTGCTTCACAGCAAGAGTAAACCTTCTCCTTTTTTATTTATTAGCTGGTGTTTTATTCATACATTTCTATTTAATCTATCGATTTACAGCTAAGGCTTGGCTGCTGACTGTATTCCCATTTTAGCCCCATGGTGTGTGAACACAATATCGGATGTACCCAGTGCATAACAACGGGTGTGTATGAATATGTGCACGTGCTTGTGTGAAATCCTTCATTTATTATTGAATGTCCAGTCAGTGTTTGGTGGGAAGGTTATGGCAAAACCTTACATGTCCCTTATCAATATTTGAAAAAGCTTAGTTTGGTAAAACTTCTGAAAAAATACAAATTTGTATTTTCAGTTTTTCACTGTTCAAACTTTATTTTAAAGCACATTTATGTTCAATCTTATTTTATTCAAGGCCACTGTGATTCCTTAATTTATTCAAATCTTAATTTACTGCAGTCATCAAGGAGATGAATGCAGCCTGGAAAATGGTGTGTGTGGTGCAGGTTCTGTTGACTGTTATGGCAGCTTACAGTGGGTATGATGCATTCTGGATAAATTAGCACAAGTAAGCAAAATGCTGAAGACCACCTTTAACTATTGAGGACTTAGAAAAATCTATCAGACACAGCAAATTTATTCCTTCCTCTACATCAATTTACTTACTTTTTCAGTGTAAAGGCCATATTTTGTAGTAGCTGATTACTGGGTTGCCTTTATGGCACTTTTTTGTACAATTTAATTAAGAGGTGCAAATAACAATAGCAACAAAAAATCTAATCTATACCCAGAAAAACACTGTATTAATATACTATTGACATTGCATAGTGGGGATGTTGTTGCTAAATGAAAAATATTAAAATTTTCAGTATCAGTAATGTGTTTAAAATGAACCCAGATAAATGATGAATTGTCAAAGAAACAGATGACATGAATAGGAAAAAAAGAACATTATGCGGAAATATTAAATCAATTTATCAAGACATTTTCAAGGACTTAATATGCAAATTGGTCTTCTAAATGGACACTATCATACAGTTCGTTATAATATAGTACACAATAGATTAAGGCCAATTTTTTTTTTTTTTTTTTTTACCAAAGTCAGTGTTTTGGAGTGACTGTCATAAAGCCCAAATCTCATTCTTGTTTGTATCCTGACCTGAAAAATCAAACAGCCATTAAACCTGACTCAGTTGCACCAGTTCTTTCAGGAGGAATGGGCCAAAATCCCAATAAACTGGTGTTAAAAGCCTGTGGAACTATTCTTCGTACATTTGAAATCATACATATTTAATGGCAATTCCATAGAATACTAAGGATAAATGTGTTTTAACCTTTAACTTTCAACAAAGTTTTGTTAAAACTTCTTCCACTCAGTTATTCTGTCATGATCTAAAGCAGAAAACGGTCTGTCTGGTTTAAAGCAGGGCAAGAAAAAAAAGCGCGATTCCTTCCCTTTTATGCTGCATATGTCAATATTTGGTTTCAAATATCTTTGTGTGGGCTTTGACAAGGTCTCAAATGGACATCAGGAAAAGTACAGAACAGAAAAAGACACAGATGTAACTTCACCAAAACGTTCAAGACGTCACAGATGGAATTTCCTTGAAGGTCTTTTAGTGATGTGCAAACTGTCAGTGTGTCTCCCAAAGAGAGATGACGAGACACTCGAAACTGGTTTATTTGCCTCAAAGTTTAAAAGGTCACGAGTTCATCAGGGTCACTACTGTTTGTAACCAACACACACACACAATCGACACACACATACACACTCAAGCTGCTTGCTTGTTGTCAGTGAAGGCGAGAATGACTCAACCCTGGTTCACATTAGCTCTCAGAGGGTAGAGCTGGGTCAGCCTGTGTCTGTTTCAAACTGATGGCAGTGTGCTGCGAACAGGTAAACAGGCAGAGGAAATGACCCCTTATTTCCAAGACCAATTTGTCCCCCAACTAGAAGCTATTGAAGATATAGAGCTCGGTGGGAGGTAAAGCACATCAGCCATTTCTTCCCCTTTCCTTCACCCCTTATTTAAACAGTGAAATAAATAAATAAACGTGGTGTCCTCTGAGGGCAACCATTGTCTCAACAACAGCAGAAAGCAGCATCCCAAAGTATGAAAGCGAGACATAATGATCAAACACCAACTTCCTATCGTCACAGTCCGATGGGTATGCTGGTGGCAGTGGGACGCCCAATTTTTTTGGTCACCGTCATTTCTTGGGGAGAGAAGAAGCGCTGTTCTGCAGGTGGGCAGTGATGATGTTGTTATGTCTCTGTTTCTTCTTCCAGACATGATGAGACTCCAAAGTGGGATTGTGTTTTTCAAATCTCATATTGTTCGGAAAATGGGGAGCGATTCATGAGCAGAGGGTAATGGGAGACCAAAGGTCTGTGTTGGCTGTTCAGAAACTCACTGAAACAAAGTTGAATAGTTTTCTCCACTTTACCCTGAAGTGTTTGGAATCTCTCCTGCTGTGTCCATCTAAAGACCTTTCCTTGTGCAAAGTGACAATATACCATCATACTATTATAATTTGTTGCAATCCAGATTAAGATTGAAACAAGTTGGGAGGCTTTAAAAAACTCTTAAGTGGATGTAGGTGAAAGTGAAGAGGCCCAGATTGTGTTTGACTCCTTGGTCAAACATAATGTCTTTGTTCGTATGTGTACTCAACCCAAGTCAACTTTATCAGCCAAAAACTCCCAGACTTAAATGCAAATCAGTAATTATCTCAAAGGTTTTTTTTTTTAGAAAATATATGTGCAACTTCTGTTCTTTTTTTTTTTTTTTAAATAAAAACTATATTTTTTTGTGTGGTTTTTAAAGATAAATTGCATTCCCCTAAAACCGCCCTGCTTTATCTGTCAAGTGACATTTTGATGGCAGCAGACTGAGGAATCCAGAGCTCTAGTTAGACATTATCTCTGTCTTTAACAATCCTGTTTTAACTTAAGCTTATTGGTAAGTCACTTTTTGGCAGCACACCATTTGGGATGTTTTAAATTATAAAAAACATAAAACAACCAACAAGCAACAAACATTAAATTTTCTCAAACATCATCATGGAAAACCATGGGCTTCTGCTTTGTGTTCTGTCAGGACTCTTGGTCGTGTCTCTCTCGTCCTGATCAGATACCAGACAAGCAGATCATACTAGTGCTGTCTGCCGAGAGGAGGATGGAAGGCGATTGGATGTTCAGCTGTTCCTCATTTGGAGTTCAAAATCAGTCTGAAACACTATCTTCCTAAAGATTAAATAAGATTTTGCTGAACAAAAGTCCAACCAAATTATGAACGAGTGGATCAAACTTGTTTGTGCACATGATCGGACACAGCTTCTGGTTAATCGGGTTGGCTGGTCTGTGGCTACATCACTGGGTCAGTCTCTCTGGCTTACACTTACTTCTGTGTCTTCTGTCTTCTTTCATCACTCCAATTCACCTCAGGTCTTAGAAATACAGCAAAGACTGAGTTTTATGCCTGTTAGCTGTTAGAAAAAATGTTTTTTGAAACCCTTGGTTACCTTTTTCTGTACTCTGCGTAGTTCTAAAACCTGTCAAATAATGTGTGACTTTAAAATAAATACACACCTATCTGCTGATGTACAACATTTTCAAGTATTTTGATCAGACGTAGCTGATTGGTCTGTTGCTCCCCAGTAAAGTCAAAATGACAATTTTTAAGCAAAGATGTGAAAGCTGAACATGTTTGA